TGAGGCTACCTCTAGGATCACTATACTTGGGGTTGGTTTCAAAGCACCCCATAAAAAAAAGAACAAGTACCTCTTTAGAGAAGGGAACAATCACCCCCTATTACCTCACTAAAAGTCTCCTCAATAGAAGGGAAAAATATATTTGCCTTTTCAATAGGAAAGACATCCTTATAAACCTCCTCAACATAAAGGACATAGATGGGGGATTTTTTGATAACCATATGAGACATTCTTTTAACGTTTCGTCTGCGTATTAAAGGCCAACTGTCTTTCGAGGGGTTATATCCAAGAGAGTATAAGTAAAAGAAGCGTGGACAGAAAGGGCACGATTGTGAGGATATGTGGAAATATGGTTGGGTAAAAAAGTTGGAGATCCACTAGTTGTAAATCTAGCTTCCCTTAACAAAAAAAAAAGTTATAAAATGAATATATACCTTAATCAAAATAGGTGTCAAAGCAAGATTTTATCCTTAGTGCCATAAAATCCTTTGGCCATGTAGTTGATATTGAACTAGGTGTACAATGAATCTAACTTTACACACACCCTTTTCTCCTTAGTGTTAAGGAAAGACATGTCATTCACACCAGTTGGGGGTACTCTAGAATAATACGTATAACCCTAAATGTCACTATACCCATCTTATAGCTTTGTCGTTCCATTGTAGCTCATCACCCCCCATTGCTCTCTATATTTCTTTAATTGAGATGACTTCCCTTTGATAGTCTCTATCATAGGCCCTTTTATCTTATTAATAAAATTTTAAAAAAAAAGATAAAGGAAGGAAGGCCCCCTTTTAGCACTATTGATTAGGGTGTAACACTACCTAAAAATCCTGATAGTAGGTTCCTCATCTAACATTTTAAAGAACTTGTCAAATACCGATAAGATGGCCTACCAATTAGGGTGGACTCAATTATAACATTCAAATACTTCCTTTATAAAGCGTTGTAAAAGAAATAACTACCCAAACTCGTACAAGTAAATGAGAGCTATAATTATAAATCTGCCTCCACTGTGCTTATTAGTGACCTCTGAAACACGATCATCAGATCCCGGTAATAAGACCATATAATCTCCTGGTTGTTAGAGATTGACCTCATCTATTTAGGTTGGAAATATCATGCTTTGAACATTATTAGTAGGAGTTTTGGTAACATGTTATTTTCTTTTTAGGCTTGAAACCTCTTAAAGTTTTCTATCTTCCCTAACTTTAAAGGGATAAGGTAGGGAAGTTTTAGTCCTAAGTTGTGGGTCAATCCTAATAATCAATGATCTTTGACGAGTGCTGTCAGTTTCTTACCTAAAGGTAAAATTTCCCTCAATAAATATTACCTTTTTCCCCTTTTTAGATGCCGTTTTAAATTTCTTTAAAAAAACCAAAAAAAAAAAAACTTAAACAATAAGCTTATAAGAAAAGAAGAAGAAGAAGATTTGGTTTACCTAAACAAGAAAAGTTATTTTTGTGACAAAGTAGACTTGTTCATATGTCTTAAACCTTTTAAGTTAAGGAAATATAGATAATTTTTGGTAGAAGTAAAAAAAAAGCTATATGAAATGAAGTATTTTTTTTTTATGTACGAGTCACCTGGAAGGCTAAAAGCTGATAAATATTCATTGTGCGTCATTTAGTGGTCTTCCTAAGATGTTTGTTTTCTCTTCCCTGGGTAATTCTTTCAAATTAACACAAGCTTAGATACCGCTCCTCAAAAGAGGACAAAATGTATCCTGACTAATAACCTCCTAAGATGCCTCTTAAGCCTCTATATGTGTTACACATTAAAACCTTGGGGGGTTAATTGATAAGGTAAATGTTTTTTGCATATCTTTTACAAACTTGGAAGAGTCTATAATAAGGTGGGTCCGACAATATGCTAGACTTCAAATAATTGGGTTTCGTGATCAACCAAACCCAACAAAACATGGGTTTGGCGAGATGCAAAATCCAATTTATTTTGGTTAAATCGTCAGTTATATCCAAGAAAACAGGGGTCTGACAAGATGTTATACCCAACATACTAGGGTTTTGTCTTCAGAACAAACATCACTTGTTCTTGGAATCTAAGGCTCTTTTAAGTCATTTCGTATCTTTCCCATAAAGTTATTGACTTTATTATTTAAGGTTCTTTAAGTCCTCCTGGTTGGAATTGTTTTGCAAGTACTTAAAGCTTTATCATTAATTTGGTGTTTCATGAGCTAAAGAGAAGAAAATTATTTACTTAAATATCTTGATTAACCATTATCCATAAACTAAATAACCTATTTTATAAATATTTTGGGTTATAGAACACCATGAATTCTTATATCCTAAAACAAGTTAATTATATTACTGAGTTTTCAATCTATTCTTTTGACTATTTTTCATGTTGAAATCTTGATAAATATTATTTAATTTGCACATCACTAATTTTATTCAAAATAATCTTCCAAATGAATAGGGTGGCGCAAATCACTTATCTATTACCACCCCCTCTCTCCCTTTAGCTGGTTTTAAAGTCTATGGGTGTAGATCTAACAAGCTCGAGCTTGATATTTATACAAACTAATATCAAATTATTGTAAGTGGTAAAACATAGATTTCATAAATACACACACATATATATAAAGTAGTCGTCACATGTTTACATGAAAATTTTGTATTAAATGCTTTGTTTGTACAACATTACTCTTATCAAATAAATTAATGACCAATATTCATAATTATACTGCTTGGTTCCCTAAGATTTTACTTGTGGCTTAGTTTGTCTAATCAAATCAATATTGTGACCGTACCATTGCTAAAAATATAGATGACCTACGAAAAGCAAGCACTTCATAGACACTTATCTATATACAACAACAATTAACATACAAAATAACATACAAACAAGTAGTAGTAAGATCCTGTAAATCATAATCAATCAAAGAAGTATTGAATATATAGATTTAAATGTAATTTTCTCTTTTCTTGTACTAATTATGGTCTATTAACTGAAATCTTATTGTATTTATGGCTTATTCTCAAACTTATAGGCTGATTTTTTTTGTGTGTAATTGACTAGACATTTCAACAAAAGAGCCAAATATGAGCTTACAAAAATGGTAATATTTGCATAGCCTTTTTTTCACAATAGTGAGAACACACATGCGCGTGCATGCACGCACACACGCATGATAAAAGTCCTTCCACTGCTAATTCATGTGAATGATTCCACGTGATAAAAGTCCTTCCCTTACCAATTCTGGATTTACATTGAGCATGCCTACAAGTTATGCACTCGATAAAATCTATACTTTCAAGATAGTACAATATGCAAAAGTTTGGACACATGTTAATTTTCTAGTATCCCAGGCCAATGAGTCTTATCATGGATATATTAGCGTTAAAGTTTTCTTTCAGCCTGTTTCCTTAAGGTAAAATGATTATTGCTTGTTTAATGATTCTATCGTAACCAACTTTACTCAGCATATGATTTGACTTGATGGTAAACATCTTTGCAATAATTGATAATTTACTATGATTTGTGCATTTATCCCATAATGGTTCATCAAAGTCTTTTAAAAGATTAAAAAACATAGTCGTGTTTGTATTTAGTCCTCCATCTATGATGAAACATTCATTTGTATAATCCTGACTCATACTCCTATGAAGATTACTATTATCATCTACAACCCAATATACATTGCTAGAACTAAAGGTTAACCCAACAATCCTTTCTACCATGGTCTCGTTAGGAGCATATAGTTCTCCGTGTGCAAACTAACATAAATATTTCTCTATGAACTTTTTTTTATAAAAGATGCATCATAATAATATTTAGATTAAGAAATTTTTTATTTTTACACCTCTTACATAAACATCTAACATTGTCTCTACTAATATTTCTTGGATTAAATAATATGTAATTAATAAACCCTCAACTTCATTACAATAATCCATCATACACAACCCTTTAGGTGAAACTTGATACATCCAAGCTCGATCATCTATTACTTATATCAAACCTATATAGAATATTGGTAACATGTATTAATTAATTATGTGAACTAAATAAATCGGCTAATATTGGTTTAACTCAAACTTATTCAATATGTTTTAATAGTATCCATAAATCATTATTAATTTTTTATAAAAATTCAAATTCCTCCACATTTACTAAAATTATCAACTTGACAACAAGATTGATAAAATATAAAATGTACTCATTAAATAAGTTATTATTTAGTTCATTGCAAAACACTTAAGTTACAAAATAAAAATTAATTTCATCAAATTACAAACAAATATAATTTTTTAAAATCTCAAAGAAACCCTAACATGTGCAAATCATATAATAAATTTATATGGGAAAACTAGAAAAATAAGTAAATACACAAAGAAATGATACATATTACATCTAAATACCATAAAAATTAACGTTTTAAAAATGAGTTAAAACAAAAAAAATAGGTAGTTTTGTTTACTTGATGTGAAGATTCTAAAAAAATAAACTAGAATGGGGATTCTGATAGATTGAGTATTGGGGTGGTTGGATTTATGGTGATGGATGTTTGATTTGTGATAAAAGATGATGAGTTTGTTGTTATTTGCAAAGATAGAAAAAAAAAAAGAAATGGAGGAAAGGAAAGGGTAATTGCTCGTTAAATCCTAACTTAAATCTTTTTGATGACTTTATTGATGGATATTAGTGATAATTTTATTTTGTTAATAATATTTTCTATAAAATGACATGTTATTTTTTTAAATTATAATTCTCTGAGTATATATTGATGAATTATTTATGTTAGTAGGTAAGAGTGGTATAGCAATGATCTAATTCATTAATAAATATTGTAATTTAACAATGGAGTTATTTTTGTAAGTATTTTTATTTTTATTTTTTATTTTTTTAATAATAAACCTAATTTTAACCACCAAAATATAATTTGAAATTTGTGCGCCACAACTCTATATCATGAGTGCGTTTCACCATGTATTTGTTTTTTCCGAGGGAATTGTGTATAGCGAACCATAGTAACCTAGTAAAGCACAATCTCAAAATTATTTCTTTTGAACAATGGCAGTGAGCTTATCTAAACAAAAAACAAATACTAATGTGGAGACAATTTTAGAGCATAAATGTGAGAAACAAAGAGAAAAGAATTATGAAAGGTGTGGTAGCAGAGGCACTATGCCCCATGTTGGGCAGCGATGGATATTCATCCGGTGGAGGCATGACACATTCATCACCATTAAATTGAATCTTTCTAGGGAAACCCCAACCTTCTCTGAAAGTAAAAATCCCTGGATCTTTGCGTAGTAAAATTTCAGTCTGTAAATTCCCATCCTTTCCTTCTTGTAGTAAAATGTCATTGTAAAAAGGAAGCCCCCAAAACATCCCAGTATCATCTGTGCATGGTAATTTCATGTCAAAACACAATTAATGATATAATGACAATTGATGAATGCAGGTTAAGTTTGCATCTCGTTAGCGTCTTTAAAGAAAGAAGAGTGGAGACAGAAATGAAAAAAACATATTTGATTATAAAAACAGATACGCAGATAAAAAAATAAATATGTTTATGGGATAATTTTACAGTTAATTTATATTCTTTCAAAATAAAAAGTACATGGACGATCTCTCTTCGCTAGATCACTAATATGATAGAAGCTAGCTTTGTGCAACAACTTACTGATATATCCGTATCGATTGAGGGGTGCGTAGTTGAAGCTGAAAACCTGTGTCAGACTTTGCAGGTTGGGATGTAGCACCACCAAGTTCCATTCTGAATAATTTTTCATGATGTGAAAATTTGTAACTGTCATTTTAGCCCTCCAATATTGTTTGTAACTTTCTTTCAGATGCCAATGCACCCTTATTGGGCACATATGCTCTGAACACCTTACTACAGGTGTTGGATCTTGATTTTGTTTCAGCAATGGTGGGGTCTCACCATACCTGCCAGTTTTCACAGAGCTTAATTCCCTTCTACACAAATAATGATCAGTTGATCTGCAAATTCAAGACACTAAAATCTTTTTGAAGTGTGTTACCAAGCGAGCCCTACACATGATGAAAAAAATGTTAAAAAACGTCGGGGAGATATACTTTACACATTTTGTTCCAGGTTGTCCTTTGCAGCCGCAGCTGCATCTGGGGCACGAAACAATAGTTTGATTGTAGAATGCAGACAAGGAAACACAACATCTTGGTGTAGGTGATGCTAAACTCTGGGAGTACACGCAGGTCACATTCCATGTCGCTTCAAGAAAACAGAACAGCGAAATTTACCAAAAAGATGAAAGGATTAAACTCTTGTCATGGAAAAAGTCTTAAAGTTCTGAAACTGGTTACCAAGAGCCTGTGTCCATCGCCGGCCTCCATCTGTTGTGTACCTGCTGGGTTCTACCTTAACTGCACCCCCACAACTATAGCCTGGAACTCCAAGTGTGAAATTTTCCGGCATTATAAATTGGGAATTGGTGCCAGAACCTCCGACAGCCATCTGAAAAGTAGCAACATACTTGGAAGGATCTTGCTTCATGGATGACAGTACACCTCCCTTGCAACAATTTTGGGTTTGGGCATTATAATTGGTTCCGGGAAGAAGGTCTACGATGAATGGCTCCTTCTCACAGCAATGAGGAAGGGTTGATTCCTTGAATTCAGTGCAGTTTCCTTGCTCAGTAGCCTCAGCTCCCTGCATTGACCATATCACCTCTTTGCCTTTCCATGCCCAATTCAATTTCCAGCCAGGTGGCTCCACATGGCGATATTGTTGGAAGTTATAAATTGATACCATCAGCTTAAAGAATAGAAAACAAATGTCATAGACCGATTTGCATATAATTATTAAAATTTATGGTGATTAACATTGTGCTTGATAGTAATGACAAGAGCTATAGTAATCCCAATTTTATAGTTATTATTCTTATGGTTGTAAATTGTAATGGCAGATAAGTGATTATAATTATATAATAGTTGTAAAAATAATTATAAATATTAAATAGAAATATGATGATAATTACAGCTAACCAAAATAATAATGATGATAATATTATGACAAACATTATCATGATGCTAATTGTTAGAAACATAGATGATCATGATGATGATGCAATGATATTTTTACATAAAAAAATTAAAATAAAAAATTATCTTTCATTGTTTTTAGAGGATATTAATATTTAAAATTATTTTCTTTTTAAAATTAAACATATTTTCCCACCATGATACCAAACAATATATTATATTTTTTATTATCTGAGGCTCCTCGGTGGGATCTTTGATTGGATATGAACACTCCTTTCTCCTAGGACAGAACGGGCCTGTCGAGTGATGTCATGGTGACCAATGGTTGGACAGAATTAAACAACGAAGACTAAGATTTTTGTCGAGCCCACAAGCACCAGACCGTGTTAGAAGCAGACAAACCGTGCTTGGCTCAGCAGTTCTCTCTTAGGTTCCGGATTATCACACGTACATCATGCACTTCGTTCTTCTTTATTGCTAGTCGAGAAACAAGAAAAATAGTGCTAGGATTTCCTGCTTTTTCTACAAATCAGTTTTTTCTTACAAGCAAATCGCGAGGATGATGGAACAACTATAGTTTTTCTTGGATGGTTCAAGATTCAATGAACACCACACAAGTAATTGAAAAACTTATACAGTGGAAAACAAGAATGCCTCTAATCCAACACCCAAAAACAAATATATCACAAGGGAATAACATGTTAAGAAAAGGGAACAAAAATAAAAACAAAATATTGGGAAAAACATATGTTAGAGAATAATGAAAACATAATCGCAGCTTACATTATTTGTACCGGAATTTGATAGAAGAAGATCCCATTTGATGGTTATGTTGCCATAAGGATCAAGTGGGTCAAACCCATCTGCACAAATTCCATTGAGATTCACCAAGTCTCAGTTCATTGAAACATTCATGGCTCTTAATTGGCAAAATTCAACAAGATCATAAAATTCTATTAAAAAAAGAAAGAAATAATAAGATTTGAAACTATGTCGGAAAATTAAAAAGAGGGTACTCACAAGAAGGTGATATAGAGCTAACAAGAGAGAAGAAGAAGATCAAAATCAAGACCATGCCCATTAATCCTTACTCAAACAAAAATGAAAAAAATAGGTTTAAAAACCTTCAAGAAAATCAACTCCTCTTCATATATATCTCCTATGAAACACCATATGCCTAACAGATAACAAAGAAACCAAACTTTTCTCTCTTTTTTCCACAAGAACACACAGGGAGTGTCTTGTTTCTTCACAGTCTGTATGGTTTGAGAGAAATGAAAGAAAATGGAGTAGTCTAGTCAGTCTGTTTTGTGTCTCAAAAATAGATTGTTTGGCTTAACTCTCTAAAAGACAAATAAGTAAAGGAAAGAAATAAAATTATAATTAATGCTGAGTGATAGGAGGACTTGGAAATGGCTAAATTTAGGGAGTGCTGGGCTGTGCATGCACTGTGATCTGTGAAGAGAGATAGATAGATGCATTCAAAGTTCACGCGTTATATTCTGGGGCACTTGGCTGCCGCTTGGGTCTCAGGGAAATGCACTTGCTTTTAAGAATTTTGCACTATATACTTTTATTGTTAAAAATTGAAAAAAAATAAAAAAAAAATAAAAGAAAGGAAAGGAATCTGCAATATTTTGTTATTTCCTCCTTTTTTCCAAAATAATTTAATTGCTTAATTATTTTTTATTATATATATAGTTTAATAAATTACAATATTGATACTTGTAAATATTTTTGGATTTAGTTGTCTAATGAATTTTGATATATATGTTCAATAAATTTCAGTATTGATATTTGTAAATATTTATCGTCTTTTCCTTCGTAGCATTTTAGGATTGTGATAGTTCCAAGTAAAGTGCCAATGTAGCAGTATTATATACATGAGAGATGATTCAGGGAACCCGTTTTATGTTCTTTGGAGTTTCATTAATTTATAATAAAATTATCATTATCTTAGTTTTTGTGATTTTTTTTTAAAGAAAGAAATTTTATAATAATATATATAATTGACAACGACAAAAACACAAATAAAAAAATAATTAGTCAGAAAAACAGAATTAAAGTTAAAAAGAATCATGACACAAATCTCTAATTCATAATTTTATTATTGTGTAATACTCTTCAAGTAATTTATCTCTTTAAGAGATTTATAAATCCTTAAATAAACTCTAAAACTACCCTAAGCAAACTAAAAAACCTAAAAATAAAGAAAAAGTAATAAAATTTTTAAACAAACTAAGAAAAATAAAATTATTAAGTATAATATTTAATTTCCTAAAGTAATTAGAAAAAAATTTCTAAAATCTCATCCTGCATCAATCTCTCTAAGTTGAAAAGATCTTATTTTCGAGTTCGAATTATTTTTGTATTATTTTTGTCTCAATTTCATGGATAATTAATCAAGAGTTTCCAACTCTTTAGATGCTCGGTTTTTCCGTTATAAATATTATATATGTCAATAACATGCATAATCTCTCTAACAATGAAACCACTATCAACATTAGAAGGAGATTTAAAAATTTGTTTCACGATTTTTGTCTAAAGTACAATAATATCAACTTTGACCCCACCAAAATTCTCCTAAAGCACATGTGTGGCATACATTCATAATATGCTTATTTAAAAACCAAGAATTTTCTCCTTACAAACATCACAAACCAAGAATTTTGGTTCTAAATCTTCTACTTCAACATCATCTTCAACATCCCTATCAAATTTTGGTGGTTAATTCCAACCCACAAAGAAATTAAAATCACCAAAATTTTTAATTTCAACATCGTATTTATTTTGATCAAGAAGTTATTTTTTCTATTCATATCTCTGAAATAGATTTTTAAAATTAGTCATGAATTTATTATCACTCTTCTCATGATCCTCTCGGCTCCTCACCTCTACCATCTAACGATTTAATTTTGCAATATGTCTCCATATATCTTCTATCATCATATCTTGAATAATTTTTTTTATTTTGCAATTTATCTCTACATAGTTTATCACCGGTTACTGAACATCTCTTTCTTGATAGGAAATATCACCATCCTTTTATACATAAACATGTCATGTTCTCCTACCTCTTCCATGTATGGTTATTGCAATACACAAGAACCAAATAACCACTGAATTCGTTGGACTATGATATCAACTGACATAAATGGTAACACAAATAAGAAGAAAACAAGTTTGAATAACATAAATAAAGCTAAATTGGGTTTTCATACATAGTACTTATTTATAATTTTATTACTGAATATTTCTCTTCAAGTAATATGTCTCACTATAAAGTTTACAAGTCCTTAAATAAATCCAATACTAAACTTGAAAATAAAGGAAAAGCAATAAAAATCTAAAACAAATTAAAAAAAATAAAATTATTAAGCATAATATTTAATTTTCTAATTAAAATAGAGAAAAAAATATTTTTTCTAAAAACTCCTCTTGTATCATAATTAATATACAAGAGAACTCTCTTAATAAAGACAATAAAACCGATTTACATCTAAGATTAAATAAGTTAAAAAAAGAACATATAATAAAAATTTTATTTAGAGACTAAAGATCTAGATTTTAGATCTAAAATATAAAAGCTATTTTACAAGTGAATGAACAACTAACATGCTCTTTTTTTTTTTACAATCCATCAATAGCTTTGCTACCTTATTTATCTTCCATTTAATACTCTTTTTTTCTTAGCAAGAGTTTTGAAGACTGGTTTATTAAGGATCTACATAAAACTTTTAGTGTAATACAAAGACTCATGAAAGTATAAAAGAACACAAAAAACAAAATCAAACAACAAATTAAAACTAAGGAAATTACCAGATAAACAGAACAAACACACACGTAAAAAAAAATTAAAGCAAGAATACTTAGATATAGAATTATTGCAAAAAAAAAAACCAAAAAAAAATATACAACAACTAAAGAAAAAACTAAAAGAAAAACAAAGTTGATTAAACATGTTCACATAAACAAATTTAGTTCAATTGTTGATTAAATAATAAAATTCTCTAAATTAATTATCGCTTTGTGTATACAAGTGTAAGGATTGACTAATATACTAAAAAAAAGTTGAATCAACTTAATGGTTTATATAAATAGTGAAGCTGGTTCGTTTGATTTTTTCCTTTTTGTTTCTTTTTTTTCTTTATATATTTTATTTTTCATATGCAAAAAGTGTTCGGGGATTTTTTTATTAGGAATTACAGAATGATTTTGCAAATTAAACATTTATTGGTTTTTGAAAAATAAAAAAAAAATAAAAAAATTAAGGACTAAATTTAACAAAACAAAAAAACTCCATATACTTTTCAATTTATCTATTGTTTAGTCCCTGAAATTTTAGCATTTTATATTTTAGTCCAAAACTTCTGTTTTCTTAAGTTTGGAAGTTGAGAGAGGAGAAAGAAAGTAATCAAAAAATATTGAAAAAAGAGAAAGTTGTCAATTATTAACATTTCAATTACTAAAATAAATGATCTTAGTGTTAAAAAACTAGATTTTCAAGGGAGTTCGATGAATGTAATTTCTCACTTTCATAATGCTAAAAAAGTATATCGAGATACTAATTTTATTATTTGGTTATTTTAATAGGGATTATAGGCTATTTTGTGGTTGCAAAAGGAGTTATCAAGGCTTATAGGTTTTTTTTAGGTGTTTTCATATTAAAAAAGATTGAAAAAAATAGTTTTGAGATTTTCAAAACTAAAACCCTGATTTTTCATTCATCAAAGGTGATAAAAGAATATTAAAGTTAGCAACAAGTTGTCTATCACAACAAATGAATATCTTTTGCCATAATCGATGACTTGTTATCCCTAAAAGCATGAATAACAAGTCATTTAGTTCATTAAAAAACTAAAAACACATAAAAATCAACACAAGTGTACATAGACTTTTTGGTAGCTGACTAAACGTGTGAGTTTGGCCTTCCAAACCCAAGAGTATATAATTTATACTTGAATTTAAAGTATATTATTATAATGATTGAAGCTATAAAATCAAACATTTGTTTAAATGAATAATGATAAGTAAATCATCAAACTTTACTATTTTATAGGAGTACAATCAAATCAGTTGTAAATATTAAAGTAGAATTCAACAAAAGAAAAGACAAGTGGGCCTAAAAATAAAAATTATTTATTTTTAGTAAAAAAGTAACATCTAAAATTAAAAATTAAAAGACATAAATTAAAAGAAAAATTTAGGGTTAAATATTTATACACTCATGATTAGCTTTCTATGTTAATAATTAATTAATCTCAATAAAAAAAAAGTAATTGCTCAATATATATATATATATATATATATCATAAGCATAAAAAAACATCTTTGCATTACTTAATTTAAAAAATCATGATACAATAAAATATAATAAAATATATTAGTAATATTGACACATTCTTTTATCGAGCTATTGCAATGAGTTAAAAAGGCTTGTTGATTTCTATAATATATTTCACATATTAAATAATATAAAAGAAAGGTGTGCGTGTGTTTTGATATATTATAATATAGATTTTAGAAACACATTAGGATATTTAATCCAGGGAGCTTTTCGGTTAGGTGTCAAAGGGTTGTTTAAAAATATAATTATGGTTATATTTAAAAAAATTATTTTAAAAATCAGTATATCAAAACATAAAAATATTAAATTTTTTAAAAATATAAATACAACCACGTTTCCAAACATAATTATAAACACGCGAACAAATATTTGAAAATATATTAGTTATTTTTTAAAATATTTTTATTTAAAAATATAATAAAATAATATTTTTTATTTTTAAAAAACTATTTTTAATGTGAGTACATTAAAATATTATAAAAATATCAAAAAAAATATTATTTTAAGTAAAAATACAAATAAAAAATTTAATTTTTTTTTATAAAATCACTTTTAAAACTCAAACACAAGCTAGCTCTTTTCTATTTCTTTTTTTTTTCTTGACATTTTTCTTATGAAATATTCAAGAGAAGTGATGATGTTATATTAGCAACTTCATTAATTATGTAAGCAATTATGTCCATGCACTACGCAGGCGAGACTCAAGTGGCAATCACTATCACTTAAATCTTCTTGGTAAAGAGTGCAAGTGTCTGAATAGCGAACCATGTGAAAAAGGATACTTAAGAATATAATTCAGTACTCAATAAGGAGGTTGGTGGCAATCTTGTGGAAAAGGATCCTTCCTGTTCATACCTATCGAGCCATTGAAAGCATAAGGTTGCTGGCAAGCTTGTGAAAAAGAGCCTTCCAGCTCATTCAAAATGGACAGCAATCTTACCTGCATCTTTGGTGAAGTTCAACTTTTATGCTGTCATTGATGTTCAAAATAAGGTGGGGCTGCATTGGTTCTTCCAGTCATGTCTACAGGATCATGTTAGGAGAGCTACTCATGAGATGGCCAACCAGGTTGGGTTTAAGGTT